TATATATGAGTGCTTGTGCATAAATGCACAAACAATACACACATGCTTTCAATTGTGTAATTTAAGTGCTCTAGGTAGCTCTGTTTTGGAAGTTCAGTTAACACTAGAAATGTGTTTTGGAGTTTGTACGTGCTTTGTCTCTAGGGGCCACCGTATATATTTATATATAAACATATAAAAATTTATTAAAGCTGCAAAACAACCTGAAGAGCCGGCTCTTTTTAGTGAGTCGAGCCGAAAGAGTCGGTTCTCTAAAAATAGTCGGAAATCCCATCACTACAACCAAGAAGCACCAATCAGTCAAAACACCCACGCCCCTAACTCTTCACTAACATGCGGTGACGCTAGCGTTAGCCGTGTTAGCACGTTACCTGAAACAGGTGGTCAGGGTGAGTCCACAGGCGCACACCCTTCATTCATCATATATCCGTGTTGGGCAGAGTGTAAATACTGAGGCTCAATGGCCTTTATACAAGCACACACACTTCTTAGCACTGCAACGCTATGAGCACAAAACAGCAGTGTAGAAAAATCGAGGCAGCCAGCCGGTGTCTGTCCAACCAATCAGTGAGCTCCTTACGTCACACCTCGTGGCTAATTTGGATTGCTTCGAGATTTTGGAAATAATGACATAGATAATCTGTTAGCTAATCCACTAGTTAAAACCAAATCTTATCCATTTGCAAACGTATTAGGTAATCTGTGAGCTCACAGGAAGGGAAGTGCAGTGAGGAAATATATTTTCAAATGAGGAGCAGAATTGCCATTTAAATGCCAGAAATAAGTATTTAATTTTTGAATCCATTTACTTTTTTCCCCCAATTGTATTTCAAAAAAGATTGTGAAAATCAGTTTTTAAATTTGGAATTTGAAAATGGTTTTTGAAATGGGGTTTTTATTGAGAGTTTAATTCTTTTTTTGTGAAATTCATTTTTGAAGTATTTATTAATGGATTAATAATTCATTTTAAAATGTTGATTTATAAATAGTGTTTTTATTTTAAATTAAACGATTTTTGTTTTACATTTTTTACAAATGCGGGCGGCACGGTGGTCATCCTGAGTTCAATTCCGCCATCAGGCCGGGGTCTTTCTGTGTGGAGTTTGCATGTTCTTCCCGTGTTTGCGTGGGTTGCCTCCGGGTACTCCGGCTTCCTCCCACCGTCCAAAGACATGCATCTTGTGGGGATAGGTTAATTGATTAATCCAAATTGCCCATACGTGTGAATGCGAGCGTGAATGGTTGTCTGTCTCTGTGTTAGCCCTGCAACAGACTGGCAACCTGTCCAGGGTTTGCCTCGCCTCTCGCCCTATGACAGCTGGTGTATCAGAATATTTATAGTAGTAACAGTTTCATGGTCTAAATATTTAGATAGAGAGGTTGAATGTACATTTAAATTCTGTTTTTATTGAATAATCTGTTTTCTGCACCTTAATTAACAGGTATTTAATCAAATTCCTGTCCAAACTGACTGACTACCAGGATGTGAACAAGATGACGCCTGGAAACATTGCTATTGTCCTCGGACCCAACCTGCTGTGGACTCAGAATGACGGGTAAGTTATAGCAGATGCATATACATGTGGCTTGTTACCTTATCCTCTTCTGTGTGATCTTAACTGAACACAAAATGCTGGATCTTGGTACCAGTGAACCATGGAAACAAATCAGCTCATGATGAGAGGAAGAGTTGTGTGTTTGATTTGATTATTATTGTGCACTTATTTCATCCCGCTATCTCATCCTAATATTTTCACATCATGAATTATGCATGTGCTGAGATACCTTCTATAACATGACTTGCAGTTACAATTTAATTATGAAGTTAAATAAACAAAAGCAAGGGCCAGATTTAATTAGAGTGAAGTGAAGTCACTTTAGTTTTATTGTAATTGCTGCAGGTGTTATCATGCACTGCCTCCTGCTCGGCCCTTAAAATCACTTTTTCATGCAGTAATTTGATGATTAAAGGTGGCAGACAACAAACGGAGGGACTCAAAGGGATTCTCTCATTGCAGCTCAGTTTCTCTTCCTCTTTTTCCTTAATCCTTAAACATGGGCTGCTACTAACAAAAAGGCCTGCAGACACACAACTTCATCCATAGAAGACTGCTGTTATTATACCGTATATATTTAGGAGAAAGATGATGACTTGGCAGTTTTGAATAGGGTGAAGGACGTCTCCTTTTATATCTCTGTGTAAATCTTACAAACTTGTCATCCCCCTTAACTTTTAATTAGTACTTTAATAGCCCACAGTTCTGAAATGATTTTCTCATTTTAATGCTTTGGTAATATCATGAAAATGTGCTAATCACCCTCTGTGTGAAATTCTTACAGACAGACAGACACTTCTCCCCCCCAATTAAAAAAAGTGTGTCTTCTCCGTTTGCTCCAGGAACATCACGGAGATGATGACGACAGTTTCCCTACAGATCGTCGGCATCATCGAGCCCATCATCCAGCACGCCGACTGGTTCTTCCCAGGAGGTGAGGAGGGAAAAAGAAGAGGAAACAGCCCTGCTTTGTTTGTTCTTGAAGTCTTAAAATGGCATTTTAGAAAATAAAATACTGAGTTGTTCCTGTTTCCTTCTGTCTTCGTTAGAGATCGAGTTCAATGTCACAGGAAACTATGGCAGCCCCGTCCACACCAACCACAACGCCAACTACAGCTCGATGCCGTCTCCAGATATGGATCAGATGGATCGCAAGCAGAACGACCAGAGCCGGCGGCCGCTCAGCGTCGCCACAGACAACATGATGCTGGAGTTTTATAAGAAGGACGGGTATGACTCTTCTGTGTCTCTGAGCGATGCATTTCAGAGCCCGACCGATATGTTGGCAGATATTAGCTATTTGCGGATATTGGTACTGGCATTTATGACGGCTGAAAATTATGAGAGTTGATCTTGTATGATTTGTTTCAGAAGGCTCTCTGCAACTTCCCACTGGCAGCATATATGTTTGAAACACAACAATCAGCAGATCCAAGCAGAACGTAAACAAATAACTCACAGAACAAGATTACTTTTAAACACATAACAAATATATTCGATTTTTAAATCGCCAAATATTGATATCGGCCTTAAAATCAAGTATCAGTACATTTTTAGCACATTAAAAACAGTATTGGGATTAGGCCTAAAGTAAGAATGCACATAATCTTAGAAACAAGCGAGAGAAGGGTTACAGTGTACTTTTAGTCACTGCAGATCTGGAAAGATTGGCTTGGGAAAGTTATGAAAGTGTAGGTTAGTACAGAACATACACTCACCAGCCACATTATTAAGTACACCTTGCTACTACTCGGTTGGACCCTGTTTTTTCTTGCAACACTGTCTTCATTTTTAAAGGCATAGATTCAGCCAAGTGCTGGAACCATTCCTCAGATTTTGGTCCATACTGACATGATAGAGTCACACAGTTTCTGCCGATCCAATATGTCAATCTCCCGTTCCACCGCACACCAAAGGTCCTCTACTGGATTGAGATCTGGTGACTGTTGAGGCCGTTTAAGTACAATCAACTCACTGTCATGTTCAAGAAACCAGTTTGAGATTATTTGAGCTTTATGACCTGACATCTATTATTAAGGGATGGACATGATCATTAACAATACTCAGGTATGATTTATGTGTTTAAATTACACTCCGTTGGTCCTAAGGGAATTAAAGTGTGCCAATAAAATATCCCCACACTATTACACCACCAGCAGCCTGACCTGCAGGATGGAGCCGTGCTTTTGTGCTGTTTACTGCAAAGTTGCAACAGAAATCAAGACTTTTCAGACCAGACCACATTTTTCTGTTCTTCTATTGGCCAATTTTGATGAGCTGATGTAAACTGTAGCCTCAGTTTCCTGTTCTTGGCACTCAGCGTGGTCTGCTGCTAGAGTCAATCTGCTTCAATGTTTGACCTTTTGTGAGTTCAGAGATGTTCTTCTGTGTCCCTCATGGTTGCCTCCCTATAAGCTCGGGGTAACTTAGCCGATTTCCTCTGACCTCTTGCATCAACGAGGCATTTTTGCCCAGAAAACTGCCGCTCACTGGATATTTTTTGTCTTTGGTCTTTCTCTGTAAATCCCAGAGATGGTTGTGTGGAAAAATCCCAGAAGATCATTAGTTTCTGAAATACTCTGACCAGCTTCTCTGTCAGCCAGTCACAATTTCGTTCTTTCTTCTTGATACTCGGTTTGAACTTCAGCAGATTATCTTGACCATGTCTACCCGCCTGCATCGATTGAGTTACTGCCATATGATTGGCTGATGAGATAATTTGCATTAATGAGCAGTTAAACAGGTGTGCCTAATAAAGTGGCTGGTGAGTGTCTGTTGCAGTATGATTTTAATATGCAAACAAATATAAACGGTTTATATGTGCACAGACTGACTCCCTAAATAAAACTGTTTCTTCAAGCAGAAGAAATAAAACTTCCACTGATTCCACCTGTTTAAACCTGTCTCTGAATTAATTAGCAGTCTTCTCTGCGTACACTGTCATCCAGCTGACTGACAGCTAGAGACATTTTTTCTACACAAGGCCACATTGAGGCTCATAAACTTTCCACACGAATGCTTCCTGACAGGGTCGGACGTGTGAAGTAAGAGAAAGAAAATTCCCCAACGATTACACAAGTTTGCCGTGAGAAGTGACCTCAGTGAGAAGCTCAGTTTCACTCTGAGGTGGACAGAAAACAATACAGTTTCACTCTTTATCTACAGGACCTGCCCTCCAAACTTTTCTCTGCAGCTCACTGAGACATCTGGAAGCGAGAAAGAAAAAGACAGAGGGTGAGCTGACATTTAGTCTGTGAAATGAGCAATCCGACAATCCTCAAACTGTGAAGAGGGATTAGCTGAAAACCAGTCAGTCGCTTTCTTTCTCTTTCACTGTCTGAATCTGAGCGTCTTTCTCTAATGCTTTAATACACCCATGGTCTTATCAGGGCCTTGGGGGAGCCTGAGCTCTGCAGCCCAGGGGCCACAAGTAGCCCGACTAATTAAACCTGGACCGTGTGGGTTGGATCAATAGAGCTCAACTTTCAGTAGAAACAGTCCTTAGAACCAAAGGCTGTTGCTCCACTAAAAGAAAGTCTGCTTTTACATGAGTGCTCTTTAATTTCTTACTTAATTTATGTCAGTCTAATAAGTTAATTAATATTTAGATACTAAACTTGCGGCACTTCTCTGCAACTCTGGGAGAGCAGGTGATGATTAGACAAATAGCCCAACATTCTTCTTCTTC